GATCAACGAAGTACACTGCTGAGGGGAGCAGCGGGCGGGTCAGGAGAGGTCTGCCACGCCATGTGGTCACCTCCGGGGCAGGCGGGAATCGAACTCATGCAGAAGTGGCTCTAGCTTCTCAGTGCAGTGCTTTAACCCGCTGCACCACCAGGGAGGGCCCCTGCTCCCTATTCTGTCTCTGGTGGATCCTCTCAACCCCAGCACTTCTGGCCTATACCCCAATACCTGTATCAATAAATAAATCTTAAAAAAAAAATCCATATTTCTGCTCTTTATAACAAATGTTGTGAGGAAAATACATGTTCATTTTAATGCACATCTTTCTTATTTTCTTTGCCAACAGATCAATGCTTCAAATATGTGGCTTCAAAACATTTTTTAATTTCATAGAAACCTTCCTAATGCATATCTTAAGTGCTCTTGATACAGACCACAAGACTGATTCTCAAGCATCTTTGCCCAGTTTCATTCCCACATATAGTGAGGATGAATATTTACTTTTAACTTCAAGTAGTGGTAGGCTCATGACTCTTTGGAGGGATTATTTAAATGCCTAATGGATGAGTAATTTAAGAAAAGCAAATGACTGAGAGATGGGTGGGAAGAGCACAGGGGCCTATGGGTGCTTTGGTGACAGAAGAAAAGTAGAGAACACCTCTGAGGGGAGAGATCGATACTGTCCCAAAATGGACAATGATATTACAAATTTAAGGGGAAAAAATCATCTTAAAAGAATTTAAAAAAAGAAAAAAAAATTTATAGGTGGGTTCCTTTACCTCCTTCAAGGTAAGTGCCAGAAGGGATCCCAGCCTGCCCGACTGCCCTCCTTATTCCTGCTGCCCTAAGAGCCACTGTTGTTCTGAGAGCAGCAAGAAATTGGTCCGCTGCGCTTTCCTTCTCTATGGCCCTACCTGTTCTATCACAAAGTTTTGGGATCTGCCTGTAACTGGCAGCACTTTTGAAGATTTTACCTTATTATTAAATTTCACATTTCATTTCCTTGAGAATCTTGAAGAAAGGTAGAAGCCTGTGTTTAGGCTGCCAGGAAGTCAATACATTCTCCTTTCATTAAAGACCTCCTATGGAATATCTGGGCAGAGACCATTTTATTATGCATGTTTTTAACAGAAATGCCGCTTCCTGCTCCTGTTACAGAATTGTTTTGTCAACCTAGATGTCAATAAGACAAAGATTATAGTTCAAAACAAGCAGTTATTAAAAAAAAAAAGATGCACTAAAGGTTATTAAAATAGGTTGTAATGTTAATGTAAAAGGTTATTACAATAGCGACCATGTAAACATTGATGGAAATCAATAGAAGCACCTCCAGGCGTTGAACACCGAAAATGCTTATTTTGGTTACATGTTGTTTTGTTGTAAGTAATGTAACAGAACAGACCAAAGTTTCCTTACAGTGAGCAATAAACAACTAAAAGATAAGATGCTGATTCAGACATCGTTGTGATGATTACACTCTAACTCAATGATACTAAATGTGGCACTTTAAGAACAGCTCTCATCTATCACATTTTCAGATGTATCCAAGATGAAAGAAGCTTTAGATAATAACTATTTAATACCATAAGGGAAAGTGAATTGCTATTTAAAATAACAGCAAAACAATGATACTAGCATTAAAAGAGTAATGTCCACTTACAGAAATAGCTATAGAATATGTTATACTACCAGGTGCTTTACATGTATCTTATTTATTTTTCTAAGCCTGCCAGTTCAAATATTATGATCTTCATTTTGTTATGTGAGGTAACAGATACAGAGTTTAAGTAATTTGTTCAATGAAATTGGAGGATCAACTAGGGTGCTCTCTGAGACACCTCCATGGAACAATACAGAATCTTAGGAGCACTGTTTATAAGCAAGCAATTTACTGTTGTTTGACTCCAGGCTGCCTCTGTGATTCACCTACTTCCCCACACTAGAAGTAATCTGAGGAGGGCTGGATAGCTATGTTTACTATGCTGTAGAAAGCATTCTTGTTCCCTGTGATGCTGCACTGGGATCCATAGGTGGGGCTCATAAACACTTTGAAATTGGAAACAAAGTGCATATAATTGTGCCACTGAAATCTATTACCAAAAAGAAAAAAAAAAAGTTCAGACTTGTCTTCTAGATACTCCTTTAGAGCCTGGCTTTTAGATTTCAGACTCACAGAATCTTACTCTGATTTCTGAGGATATCCTGGAGTATGACATGCTAGAATGTACTTACATTAAGATGAAAGTGGGGACAATTACCAAGTGAAAATTTCAAATTGTAACTTGAAATAACCAGACAACCATAGCAAAGGAAACGAAGTAGAGGCTGAGGCAGAATTATCTACCTCGTGGTAGCAATTTTTTGTTTCTCATTATATATAGAAAAAGCTACAGCTTAACAGAAAGAAAAATGAGATGAGTTTATCTGAATTATCAAATTTAAAGCAATCTGTCATGTAATTTTAAAAGTACTGGCAAAATATGCAAACATGAGCAATTATATGTGGAAATAAAAAGACAACATTGCAACTATTTGCTAGTTTTAAATAGTAGAGTAGCTATAATCTTGTAATGGGTACAAAGTGCAGATGGAATTTTTCACTTTTCTTCCAAAGAAGTTCTGCTGAATTTCAAATATTTTCTTTGAATAATCATGTTTGACACATATAAAGATTAATGTTAGCAAGGCAATTAAAATTAATGATGGGAATTGTCCACTGGGCTAAGTCTGTGCAGGTGTTTCACCTCCACTGTTCCCATGTAGCTAAAAAGGTCGGATACATAAAATTCTGAGCTTTCACATAATACACTAGGAGTGGTTATTTTCATCTTTCCTAAAATCCACAGAATTTTTTTACACCAAGACTTCTCACAAGATTTTTGAAATATAATTTGACTTTTAAAAATGAAATAGGTTATACAAAATTAAAAAAAAAAAAGCTTCATTGCAGAACTCTTGCAGATAAGAATAAAAGCATGGTCTCCAACCCTCTATAATAGTTTTGAAGTCAAAAGTTACCTTCCAAGTATCTTTGAATGTTACCCTTTATCAAACCAAGCCATTTACTACTGGGACTCTACTCACAACTTACAATTTTGATATTAATTAACATTGAATTTTATCTGTATCTTTATATTTTTCTACTTGTATGTATTTGGTATATGGCCCCAGCATAGGGAAGATGGAGACTGGTAATTAAAAGGGTAGTGGAATGTTAGAAACCCACAATTAGACAAACAGCAGACAGACTGGTACTAAGGAAAGAGACAGAACAACAAAATAATAAAAAGGAAGGACAAACACACGAAGAGGCAAAAGCACTTGGGAGGTAGGACCAGGAAGGCAGGAAATACCCAGTCGTTTTAAGTTTTCCCCACAGAGCTCCAACATTTGGTGGGAGGCTGTGTTGAAGGTTACTTAGAGCACTGTCCTGCTTCTCTTTCTAGCTCAATGCACTATGTGGGGGTGTCCAGTAACAGATCATGAGGTTCTTTAAAAGAGGTGTTCTCTGGTCACTAGCTCTGAGAAGCTGCTTGAGCCAGCAGCTCTGAAAAAGAAGGGGACTGGTTCAGCTATTCTATGGCCCTTTAATTAATTACCTTGCTGACTGCCCCGGGTCCATTCCTGGTTTTCCCTGTCCATGATCCTGAGAAATTTTTTGCTGAAACTCGATGTTTCAACAGCCTTTGCCTTTCATCTTTATTGTGTTTTGTAGGTCTTTCTCTACTGGGGCTTAGCTTTAATTTTATTCTATCTGTTGTATACTATTCACAAATTCCTAAGTGTTGATTATACCCTTCTAAGTTTCCAGTTAACTTCTGTAGATCTAGTTTTAATATTTATTCTTCCATTTTAAAGAGACTTTTGGGGACATGCAGAGTTTAACATATTTCTTAAAGAGGTATCCTCTGTTGGAAGCTATTTTAAACATACTAAATGAAGCAAATATTTTCCCTTTACAATCAGTGTGCGAAATTTTTATCAATTTCTGATTTAACTGCAGGCAAGCCAATACATTTAACAAAATTAAACTTTCACATTTTACATTTGCTTTTGTTAAATGAATTATTTTAAAAGTTGAAAAATAAAGGAAACTTACAATCCATATCAAGCATTGCACGAACAGATTTCACAAGTTCCTTAGATTCTAGTGCCAGCATCGCTGGAATGTTACGTCCATTCCTTCCCAGGGGCGTGAGTGAAGTCTGAGAAGCTAGCACAGATCTTCTTTCACTGTGAGGGCAAGAAAATAAAGTTGAATTTAATACCCAGTAGATGACGTGTATCCTGGCTAAATCTAAATTCTTAACTAATTATGAATTTATATAAAAATGTCTTTTGGGTGAGCACTGCATTCTTTTAGTCATAAGTAAAGCAGTTCACACAAAACAGTGTTTCTGTTCTCATTTATTATATAATGAATAGGCATACTGAAAATTAGGTTGACTTCATATAGGAAGTGGAGAGAACAGATGGATGGCCTATTTCTGAAATTATTTGTTAGCTTATTTTGTGAGTACTGTGGGTTTTTTAAATATTATATTTAATAATATTATGTATCCTTTTATTTAGTTTTATAAAAAGTTCAAATTAGGGATTAATCATAACATAAGCAGATATTCACTGTTACTTGTAGTTTTAACTAATTCAATATATATACTGCTCTTGAAATTTTCTTAATCTCTAGAAGTTGTTTCTAAATCTAAAGTAGACTAGAGCAATTATATCATTTAAAAAATGCAAATGTGACCTTGAAATGAATCCATTATAATTTTATGATATAATTTAAAAAAGCAAAGCTTTACTATGCAAAGCCATCCTGCTCAAATTTTTCCTTGAACAGAGACAATTTTAAACTAATAAAAAAACCATCATTACTTACAATCCATTTTCTTAAACATGCTGCTATTAATTCACAAGAAGAAACTGAAGCATCAATTCTAAAATTCAAATATAGAAATTTATTCTATGTTCAATAATCAAAGCCAGTATTCACTATGAACAATATGGTATATTGAAAAGACTGAACAAAAATTTTACTATTATTTTAATTTTGCAAGATGTGGAACTTGCTTACTGTTGCTTTTAAAAGTTGTCCTTTTGTCAGAAATCAGTTTAAGGAAAAGGCAGGCTCTGATTTTAAATACTAATTTTTTCACCTTGATTTTTAATATCAAAATCTTCTGAATTATTATTCAAAGTCACAATGTGGCCTTGGGGGATGGGAGTTTAGGGCCACATCTATCTCATATAAGGAGAATCCTATAGCTGAGTATTTTAACATTTTTACTGAAAATAATCAGCATGGAGTTCACATAATTGTCTTCTATTGTAAGCAGCATGGCTAAAAATTAAGAATGTCAGATTCCTTCATTAGATGAAACAGAGCATTACATGCAAATGAGATTAAAAGTATTCTACAGATATTTTTCTAAATTCAAAAACTGCTATGTGGAAAGCTAAAATATAATAAGAATATATCATGTTTATTTATTAAATTGCTGCTTTCATAGTAAAGGGTAAACTTTCCTTATGTTTCTGCAAGTGCACATTGCAAGAAGTCTACGTACTATAGTATCAACTATTGTGAGGAAAAAATTGCTTTGAAAATATATGAATAGGAATCTCTCTTTTATGTTGAGACTTAACAAATGTCTTTACTGTATAACAAAAAGACCATAAACTTGCAGTTTGTAATAAATAAATCATATTAGTATGTTTGTATCTCTTATTAAGAAACTTTAAATAGGAAACAACCTGAATAATTATAAGATCAAGGTGTATTCTCCAAGTAGATTTATTTTATGTATGAATGCTGAATGATAAAAATGGAAGAAACTGATTGTATGAGCATATTTTATAAAATGTTGTTTACCATAAACAACTGGATTGAGACAGAACTTTAGCAGAATAGTGACATAAACAGATGCTTACAATTTTAAGTTAATCTCACCTTCATAGAAATCCTAAGAAGGAAAAGATAGGTGATTCTACCTCAGTTTTAGAGTATAGGTGTTCCCTACTATTCGAAAGCAGAACAACCCCATGTAACCTGTCATAAGTCAAAATTACATTGAATGAAAAAGCCATTTATTTATGTGGAAAACATTTTGAGAGTTCCCATGCACCAAAAATAAACTACTAAGTCATACCAAATAACACATAAAATCCAAAATAACATTAGCATATAGTAAAAGGAGGAAGATACAAAAAATACACAGCCTACAGAAAGTAGTTCCCCAGGGAGGAACCTGATGGTGCCACTCTCTCCCCTCCCTTACCTCACCCCACACCTCCTAACCACAACTGAATATTATTTCTGCTTTTTATCTTTTGTTGTAAGAGCAAAAATCCTCGGAATATCATTTGGTTAGCATGGTCAGGTACTAATATGAGTCTCTCACAGAAGTGAAGTAGCAAAATAAAAGCTTTTGGGGGAAAGAAAATGGGGAGGACACTTACACTATGTTGCAATGGCTGGCTGCTCATTCGCATAGATGGGCTCAAAAGCCAAATGTCCCATCTACTTCCATGAGACATTACAGAATGGCGTCCTGGGCCTCCCTGGTAGTGCAAGGAGTTAAATCTCAGCACTATGAAGCCCACCAGGGAGGTGACTGCATGAAGCAGCAGACCTTTCTTGTCTTGCCCACTGCTCCCCTCAGCAGTATATTTCAGTCAAATCCACCTACTCAACTCCCTATTCTGTTTCTCATGAATCCTCTCACTTCTCATCTCCCTCTGCACCTCTGGCCTATACCCCAGCTCTTGTATGCATAAATAAATTAAATAACTCTTTAAAAAATTTAAAGAATGACATCCAATAGGAGCTATACAGCACCTTAAAGCTATGTAAGAGACTTCAGTATTTTAGTTACAATTACCAGATGAAAATGTAAATGATCATACTCTGCAGAACAGGCTTAAAGAATCTTACCTTAAATTTGATAAAGGAGCCGAACTATCAGAAAATACTTCTTGAATATCCTAGTGAAAATCAAGATAGTGAAGGAGATATGTAAGTTTGATGATTTTCTAAAATGCTTTTTGTTAATAAATATTTAACATCTCCCCATTGAACAAAATGCAGTTTCTATTATATAGAGGATAAATTAATTTTATTTAGAAATATACTATCTATTGAAACTAAGTGTGCATACTTATGTTTGCATAGTATCAAACCTTTTAGAAAAACTTCATTAAAACATAATATATATTTGGTATCATATACATCAGTTATTTTTCTTAATCTGTATTTTCATTTTCTAGATCACTTGGAATCTTTGTCAGCTTTGAGCCCAGAGAATGTTTTACCTGCCACCAAATTCACTGCTATTTTTTTTTTTTTGTACATCAGTCACCTATACAATTCTTAAAAATAGACAAAACATAATATTAACAGGAGACTTTACCTCTACAAAATGAAGCAGCTTTTCTGTGGATGCCTCAAAAGTTTTCCGAGCCATTTCTGATTTTCGCAATTGGCAGTCAAGTACTGTGATTCTCTTTCTTAACTCTTGAACATCTTCCTGGACAGAGACGTCACAAGAAATTTCATAAACATTTTCTCTATTGTACAATAGTGGTTCTTATTTTGTTTTAATTAATTAGTATGCAATAATACCACATCCTTTATTTTCTCTTTTACTGTACCCATCTTCTGATTTTGAGGGGCACTTTAACTAATTGAATATTTAGAAGTTAAATTAGATAGGGACACTGCAAATTTTATAATGTGCCTATAACTTTAGTGATACTTGTAGTAAAGTACAATAAAATTAGTTTATAGCATTGGGGGGGGGTGGCTAGGCAACATGATTTACCCATGCTAACAAAATCTCCAACCAAAAATACTTAAGGTATGCATAACTATATAGTAATATAGTTCATTGTAATGCTCACAGTTCAGCTTTACATTGGGGAAGTAAAGGAATTCCATGAAAACAAGCAATAGCAACACCAAGTGAATACACTAGAGTAAGAGATCACTGCAGCATAATTTACTCTTTAGGTATATGGTGATCAGTTCAATGGCCTACATTTTGGTGTTTGATCAGGAACAAATGGCAGAGAGGATAACCCTGGTGGTTGAACTAGCAAGAAACAAATTCTCAAGAGGTGAATATGAATTTAATTTTGGCTGTGGTGAGTGGGTAAAAAAAAAGTTATTCCCAAGCAATTCTTAACCACAACTCCTTCATATGCAGATCTGAGGTGATAATTTATATACTTATGTGGCCTATAAACTCTTAAGCTGAAAACTTAGTAGTTTATGTTGGCTGGAGGCTGGTAAAAATAAACACAAAACTTCTCTGGAGGGATATTTTCTGAATTCAGTTCTCATATAATAGCCACATATATCAGAGTAGCATGAAATATAGAATTATGAATGAAAGCTAACTAAAGGAAAAAATTACAGGGTGAGACTTATAATGACAGCAAACACTGGAGTGATCAGATGCATAAAATAAAGCAATTTTTAAGGTGTTTTAAAAATTAAAGAAGAAATTGAAAGGATAATATACTATCAAAACAGACCCAGGTTATAGAAAAAATTTAACCATAATTAAAGTAGACACTCTACTGGCTGATTATCCAATTAGATACAGTTGAAAAAAGAACAAGTGATTTGGAAGACAGAGGTAAAAAAAAAAACCTTCATGATGGAGTAGAAAGAGAAGCAGAAAATAGCAAAGGAGGAGAAGTTAGAGAAAAGAAGCAGAAGATTCAGCATACATCCTGTTCAAATTATAGAATAGAGACCAGAAAGAGAAGGATTACAGTCTAGGGTTTCCCAGAAATGACAAAATATATTGTTCATCAGATCAGGAAGCTCAATGACTCTTAGGCAAAATAAATAAAAATAAAGCAATGCACGACTCATCAAACTGTGGAACAGTGAAGATACAAAAATCTTAAAAATTCTAGAAAGTAACAACAGATTGCAAACAACTGACAGATTGACAGCTGATATTACAAAATTGAATAAAAACACTGGAAAAAATTAAATGTCATCTTAACATTCTAAATGTGGCAAAAATATACTTCAAAAATAGGAGTTTAATAAAGATGTTTTCAGACAAACAAAACAGAGAGTTTATTACCAATAAACCCACACCTAACAAATTTTTAAAAGATGTACTTAGGTAGGAAATAAATATTGCAAGAAGGTCTGAGATGCAAGGATGCATATTGAACCAAAAAATGGCAAATATGGTATTTTATATAAAGAAAGATTGACTGCACAAAATGAGGTGAAATAGAGTCTAATTTATGGTACTTAAAGTCAAGAAAGAAGTAAAATACTGACAAAAGAAAAATTAAATAGGAAGAGATGACTACAATTTTATTCTAAAGTACTTAAAATTTTTATAAGACATAGAAAACTAGGCTATAATTTTATACTCTAAAGTAAAAGAACGTTGCAAATTTTTAAGATAATCCTTAAAATTCAGGATATTTAATTCTAAGACAGCTGTGGGGAATAAATGGAATAGGTGAGGGAACTCAAGAGAAACCTGAATAAATTTTTAAAAAAGAGAAAAGAAATACAAAAAAAAGCTAGAAAACATGGAATAAATAAAATGAACAAAACAAGAATATGGAAGTGAAGCCAAGGACATCAGCAGATAAGAGTATAACGGAAAGCTCTTTCCAATTAAAGGTTCAAAATTAATAAGATGGGGGGGGGGAATCCAGTTACAGGTGGTTTACTATAACATACACAATTACCATATCAGGGCACTGAAAAGTTGAAAATAAAAATAAAAAATATATAGGTAAATACTAAAACAAACTGGTATAATTTATCAATCAAAAGTAAGCACTAAGGGGAAAAGAAGACTGCCATATCAAAGAATCATACATTTTTCATAAAAGATTGACAAAGCAACGCCACATTTTTATGGAGTCAAAACCTTATTTCAAAATATATAATGAAAATTTGAAAACGAAACCATAAGTGAAATGTTAACATACTTTGCTAAAAATGAAATTATTGACTAGAGAAGAGCTGAATCCCACCATATTGATCCTGGCCTACAACACTATATTAAACATTACATCAAACAATTGCAGAATTCTCTATAAACTCACTTTTAACATCTAAAACTCTAGTCAGACAGTGAGCTATAAAACTACCATGAAAAAATTATGCAGTTATTATTCTATAGATTATATTTTCTTATAATGTAATTAACTTTCTGTGCCTCAGTAGTGCTCATAAATTAAATCTCAATCTTAAATATTAAGTTCATCTCAAATTAATCTACATATATAATGAATTTCCAGTAAAAATTCCAATAGATTTTCTTTAGGTAGAGTTTACAGGTTGAATCTTATACACACACACACACACACACACACATACACATATGTATATATACCCATTTCAATTTCTTTAATTTTTTATTTTATTGCAAATGAGTAAAAATAATATATGTCTGTTATATATTTTATTTCTGAAGGTTGTAATGAATATAGTACACAGGAAAAAAAAATCACAGATTCATGTTAAGAAAGTTCTCATTGCCTTCTGAAAAGCACTCAGTATTGTGTTATTAAAATTAGAGATTAGTACATCTTGCATTAAAAAAAAACTAAATCCAACTCAGTTTCTTCCCATTAATTATCTCAAGCCTTGGGCAAAAATTATTTAACTTTCACACTTCCTGGAATGCTCTAATCAAAGAGTAAAATCCATCCCCAGGCTCTCCTCCTATCCCCACAAGACAAGTCAGAAACTTTAGAAACAAAGGGGAAAACCAATGTCATCAATTAATGGTAAATAGATCCAGGACTTAATGCCTGAGCTGTACAATGTTAACCAGTGATGCCTACAAATTTGGGGTACATGCTTTTTCACCCCAGTTATCTGAACCCAGGAAGGCTGACCACCTTCACATTCACCCCATCACAACACATCATCCTATCACTGAATAATAGAAGACAAACACTGACCTAGTTTAGAAGTGCAGATGAAAAGAAAATGAAAACAGGATACATGACAACGGCAAGGAAACCATGGTAACGGCAAGAGAGGACTGTTTTGCTTACTTTATTTTGGTCAGAATAATCAGCAAGCTGAGCCTTTAGCTCTGTAATCTCGGCCTCTAACAGACGGATCACTTCTTCATAGTCCATTTCCATCCCATGGGCCTGTCTTTGTGCAGCTTCTGCAAGATGAATTCGACTTCTCAGGGCTCTTGTTTCTTCAACTACAGCTTTGGTTTCCTAAAGATTTCAAAATTAAATGTCATTGCAAAGAAAACATGTAGAGAGTAGTTCAGTGGTTAAACAAAATATTTCTCTGCCTCCGGAAGTCATAATTCCAAACTCAATTGATATCCATCTGTTCCTCAAAACTCAATTTGAAAATTAACATTCATGCTATTTTATTATGCAGGCTGGCTGCCTGATCTTACTTTTCCTTTATTGGTTTCATGGATAATTTTCAGTGTGGACTCTCCAACGTCACATGCCACCTCAACATTTTGAAAATAAAGGAAGTAGCAGAGAACTGAAACCAGGGGAACAGGAGTTGGGTTCAGAGAATAAAAGAGTAGCCTTCCATAAAACTCAAGTAGTCAGTAAGCCTGAAGTTTGAGGGAGGCAGGCAGTTTTATCAGTGCTGAGACACGAATGGCCCCTTGGGGCTTCTCTGTGGTTCAAGCCCGGGGAATCAAGGCTTATTCCTAGACACCAGTCTAACTCCCACTCGTCCCTTTTGATATAAGCCAGAATGTAGAACTCTGTAGCAATATATAGTCATTTCTGAAAGAAGCAATGTTCACAGGCATTTGTTAAATAGGTTTCAGGAGAGTCCAGTTTCTTCCCTCTTTTAACCTTTGAACAACATTAAGAGAAAGACCTTGTTAAAAAGTGTTTTACATATAATCAGAGACTCAGAGTATATACAACTTGTCCAGAATTGAAACAGCTTGACGCCAACATTAATGATCTCTTAACTATTTAGTTTGCTGCTAGATGAGGGTAAAAACAATATACTAGCTACATCCTTGACCTCCGAAATGGTCAAAACCATTTATTTGCTCTCTTACAATATACCTTAACACTGGGTCAGTGACAGTCCCTGGGACACCAATATAATTTAACAAGTTACATCATAAGCCGATTCTTTTTCTTCATTTCATGCAGAAATCTCTTAGCAATGGAACTTTCTGCTCCAATTGATATAGCTAATATTCAACTATTTCTCTTATAATTTTTTTGGAGTTATTATAGGACACTTATTTTTTGTTTGATTCTAAAATGTTTTGAAGGAAATGGAGGGCTGGGAATATGGATGTATTCTTTTTTTTTTTTTT